GAGTTACGGTCCCGCCTGTCCCCCGGAATAAGACCATCATAGATGCTGGAAAGGCTCTGCTTAGAGAAAGAATTCTGGTGTGCGTTACTCATAACCAGAACCATCTGGAAGCAATCTCGCGTTCACACGATGGACTTCTCTTCCTCTTTGGCCCTCGCTCGCTCTATAAATCCCATCAGCCCAGGAACAGCTGCCGGAGCTGCTGGCCCGAAGCCAGGGGTGAAGAAGCTACAGCCCTCCCCCCGCCCCCACTTGCTCCTCGCCCCATGTGGCTGGACAAAGAGCACCAAGAACACTGATTTTACACAAGAGCAAAATCCCCGGCAGGCGCAGAAGCGGGGACCTGCAGCCACAAGGCCAGCTCCGAGAAACTGTTGTTTCAACTCCCTCACACAGATGCTTGCCAGCCAATTATGGCCTGAGCGGGCTCCGAGGGCTGCGGGTGGGGACACAGACCTCAGTCCAGCCCGCGTGCATGGTGCTGCCATTGCAGCGCAGGCACAAAGGGCCGGGGAGGAGGGGCGCTGGCTGGCGTTGAGTCCAAGGCCGGATTCTGGCCCCAGGACCCATGACACCAGGCACAGAAGGTGAGAGCTGGGCCGCATCAGGGACGCACTCGGCGCTGGGGGTTCTGGGAAGAATATGCCTTTATAAATCACACCACTGGGCAAACTCTCTGAGGAGCGGCAGAAGGAGAGCTGGGGGAGCCAGGGAAGAGACTGATTTCATTAGGAAGGTCCTGGTGACAATAAACTCTTGTCCTCAGTACAATCTGGGCCTGCCGAGTGGGTCCACAGTCTCCGAGAAAGAGCCAGGGTGGGAGAGAAAGGATGCCCGCCAGGAGGCAACAGACTCATCCTTAATGATGAGACAAGGCTTCCCCGAGCTGACAGCCTCTCCACACTCCCTCCCGCTGCAGACACACCGCGGACGGAAGCGGCACGGTGCCCCTCTAACGAGAGCAGGAGTTTTCCTAAGCATCGCAGAGCTGGTTCTTTGGGGATCTTTCCCACCATCGCACCCAACATCACACACAGGTCCTCAGTGATGAGTGTGAAGCATGGTGTTTCAATCTGGCCAATGGTCTACTGGGTCAGAGTGAGACGAGAAAACTTACTGCTCCCCAGATGCTTCGTCTCACCCTCTCGAAGCCTGGTGGGTAGAGGTCCCCTGCTCAAATTTATGCCCCAGCTCAAAAGGGGATGATGATGTCTAGTCTCACCCTGGAGAGAAGCTAACCGGTGCACTGGATCAGAAAGAGCCTGAACTAGTGTCAGAGACCTGGGTTCTAGTCCCTGTTGTGACACTTGCGCGTTGGTGGAAGCCGAGAAAATGGCCTACTCCCTCTGGGCCTCCATTTGCTCAACTGCAAAATGGGAACAGGGAGGAGGAGCCACTCAGCATCTGGCAGCATCTGGCACAACGCACAGTCGGCCCTCTGCACCTGCGGGCTCCCCGCTGCACAACGGTGTCCAGTCTGCAGTCAGTTGCACCCGTGGCTGAGAAACCAGGGGAGGCAGAGGGCCCACTGAATATTCCTTGGAAAAACCTGCCTGGAAGTGGATCTGCACAGTTCAGACCCGTGTTGTTCAGGGGCCGACTCTAATTTAAAGCTTTGATGGGGAGGAAAAGCTACCAGTCCTCATCTCCTTTTCCATGGAATTGTCGGCTCAGAAAGCCAGCAAATTGTGGTCCCGTGTTTTTAAGTCCCAATAACTAATGGCTAGACCTGAGGTTTTCCTTTAGAGGCTAAAACGTTTTCAAAGGGATTCATTAAAGTTGGGAGAGGGAGTTTACATACGCAGTGGTCTAAATTGGTTTTAAACTCCCCAACTTCTTCCAACAAAGATGTGAAGCGCTCTCCTTTGCCTTAAACATCATTTTCAAATCAAAAGTAAACACAGGTAGGAAGTCGTGCAAAGATGTGCGTACATCTCTGCTCACAGGCAAAGCTGGGAGGCAAAGCCACGTAGGGAGGGAATGACGCTGAAACGAACCCACAGATCTGGTCTGAGGAAGCATTCTCAGTCTTGGCTCCTCAGTGATAAAGTGTGTGTGTGTGCACGTGTGTGTGCACGTGTGTGTTGAACCCACAGATCCGGTCTGAGGAAGCATTCTCAGTCCTGGCTCCTCAGTGATAAAGTGTGTGTGTGTGTGTGTGTGTGTGTGTGTGTGTGTGTGTGTGTTTAAAAGACAGAGGGCATATAAACTTGGATATAATCTACATTCAAAAAACTATGAAATGGAGGTAACCTTTAGCCATTTGTTCACCAAGTTGGTTTTGGCTGCTTAGGTGTCATTTGCCTCGCTGGCCTGGAAAGAACATACAGACAGCCTCGCCTCAAGTTCAACATGTTTCACATGAAAGCTCCTCATTCCTACCCTTCTACCCACTGACCGTCCACAATGTCCACCTGTCCCCACTGTCCCCCTCCACTCTGTCCATTACACCCCTTTCTTCCTTCCATCCAGTAAGTACTAGCTTCCTGTCCGCTATGTGCCAGGCACAGGACATGGTGCTCCCCTCAGGGCGCTTATCGACTACGTGAAGAGGCATATTTAAACAGATCATTGAAATAATTCATGATTTACCTCTTACATGCATGGCTTATATCTGGCCCATATGATCTAGCTTCCTGTTCCTTTCCTTTCCGTGACTATTTTCTGCTTCCATCCCTCTATTTGGCCCTCGGGACCTCACACCTCCAGTTCTGATTTGTTCCCCTGGGTATCTCTATCTGCTTTCTCTCCTAGTCCCCTTCACACTCCTCTTAGAACCACTTTCCAAAAGTGGTGCTTTCATCTTTCCTTCTTCTCAGAAACACACAAGAGTAACCTACTGCCTCCTCCAGTACACCCCAAGCTCTCTGCCTGGCTCCCTCACCCTCGACCATGTTCCCTCAGTGCCAGAGCAGTTGGCCATTTTGCTTGCTGTCTCTTAGATTGACGCTTTCATTTACGCATTTACAATCGCGTGGTTCTTGACTCGGGATGCCTTTCCTTTCTTTGTTCCAAATTCTGCAAATTCCAGACCAAACCCTGCCGTGCTATTCTGAACCCGAGTAACCCTCACCTTCAACTTTTCTATGAGTGCTGAATTTGCTGACTGGATAGAAATGAATTAACAAAGAACACCCAGTTGGTTTAGGGCAGTGATACTCAATCTTTTTTTTTATCTCATGGCACGCAGAAACTAATTACTAAATTTTACAGCACACTAAAATATGTATTTCTTGCAAGTCTGACAGAAAATAGGTATAATTTTGATTCATTCACACCAGATGGCTATTGTGTTGGCTGCTGTCATTTTTTTATTTGACAATCTGAGGGAAAAGAGGTCAGTGCTCCTGACCAAATAGCCAGGTACTGCATGTTTCCCTCCCTTAATCCTCACCTAAGGATATGTTTGAGAGGGGGAGGGGGTGGTTGGGGGGGAGAGAAAGAGAGAGAGAGAATATGAGAGAGAGAGAGAGAGATGTGAGAGAGGAACATTGATCAGTTGCCTCCCATATGCACCCCGACCGGGGATCAAATCTGCAACCTAGGTATGTGCTCTGCCGGGGAATTGGACCCACAGTGCATGGTGTATGGGACGACAGTGCAACCGAGCCGCCAGCCAGGGCAGGTATTGCATGTTTTCAAAATCCACCAGTTGAAAATCGTTGGGTTAGGGTAATGAATCTGGGGCACCAAATCTCCAAAACTGAGAGCTGCAAATACAGTGGACCTTTTCTGATTAATACGTGCATGTTTAGGAGTAAGTATTTTAGGCTTTGTGGGTCATATGGTGTCTGTTGCAACTACTCAACTACGCTGATGCAGTGTAGCCAAAGATCAAACATACAGTGCTGAACACGGCTGCACTAAAATTATTTATAGAAAGGGCCCGCGGGTAAAATTTGGCTTTTGAGCCACAATTTGTTAACCCTGTTGTAGAAGAAGAAGAGTGGATACTGGTGAGGATGTCCTCTTTTGGATGGGAAAGTACAAGAGGAAGCATCCCTTGGATCAGCCCCTTATCTTCCCTGTCACTCCACTGCTCCGCTGAGACAGTATGTGCCCTCGGAGAAGATTCCCAGCCTGGAAGTCATCACCATGGGAACTGCGGCTGTGACCATCTGTTACAGCTATTTTGGTCAACGAAGAAGAGATATCGGAATCTACTTCTTCGCCTGAGTTGGAGATACGGCGAGGTCAGAGTTGCCGGTCTCTTTCTCCAGTTATCCTCCAGGCGGGCATGAGGCTTACTGGTCAGGAACACAGGGCCCAAGGGCAAATCTTCACCCATTTGTCTCCGTGCCCGGCACTGCTCTCTCATTTAATCCTTCCACCAACCCTCGTACCTGTAAGTACTTGATCAGCCTATTTATTTTTCCGATGGAAGAAATCGATGAGGTTCCTAGTCACCGTTGGCCTGATCCACAACAGAATTGGTCTTATGCTTAGCAAGGTGTGTTTGGAGAGTGAGATGCCCCCTGCCAAGATTTCGTATTTCAATTTGGATGTGATGAAATAATGAGGGTAAATCATTACTTCTGGTCCTTACAATGACCCTTCAAAGATACCCATGGCAAACGGGGCTCGTAGGGATGAAGTAGTTTATGCAACTTTGCCCATTTGGAAAGGTCTGAGCTAAGGTTCCATCCAAGGATAATGACTGGCCCAATAAACCTCTGGTCCAATCCTTCGAGCCCCTGACCTAAAAAACCAAGTTCAATGTGTTTCAAAAGCCCCCAAATGCTTGCTCTGTGCAAAGTGAGGAACTTTGTCACCTCTGTGGGGTCTAGTGTCCCCGAGGAGAACCTCAGAGAAGCAGGCAGGCCAACCAGCCCTGAGATGTGGGAACTGGACCCGGGCGCAGAGCAGAGGCAGCGTCGCCCTTTCCCTGACCACGCCCGGGTCGCGGGGCACCTCCTGATCCAAACTGTGTGTGTGGCCGGTTATGGCGCTGACGCTGCCTTCTCACGCCCTGGCGGTGGCGGAGGGAGGCGGGCTCTTACCAGCCGGTCATGTTAAAGTCCCTGTAGAGCATCTTCTTCCCCAGCTCCTTCCTCTGCACTCTCCTTGGAAACTCCAAATGTGTGAACTCGTTTCCCAGCAAGTGAGGCTGCAGGAACGCCTAAGAGCAGCAAGAAAGAAAACACACACACGCACAGATTTAGAAGAAAAAACGAGACTCAAGGATGTTTTGCAAATCGAGACGGGCCATACATATTTCAAATACACACACACACAAAATAGTTCCCAAATTTTAAGGAAAATAGATTTAAGAATCTCAGTGCAAATAAAAATCACCCACTTAGCCGAAACCGGTTTGGCTCAGTGGATAGAGCGTCGGCCTGCGGACTGAAGGGTCCCAGGTTCGATTCCGGTCAAGGGCATGTACCTGGGTTGCGGGCACTTCCCCAGTGGGGGATGTGCAGGAGGCAGCTAATCGATGTTTCTCTCTCATCGATGTTTCTAACTCTCTATCTCTCTCCCTTCCTCTCTGTAAAAAATCAATAAAAATATATTTAAAAAAAATCACCCACTTAATTTATTAAGGGCTGTAACGTTTTCATTTGATGTGAAGAATTAATTGTAAGAGAAGACATGTATGGACTGCCAGCGTTGTCAGGAAAAGAGACTGTTTCTCCCAAGGTTCGCTTTTTCATTCAAATCCAGGATGGGTTCCCTTTCCCGCTGGCATGCTGGCGAGGCCAGAGAGCCCCCCTCACTCCTTCCACCTGCCCCAGGCTTTCTCTGCTGTCCTCTCCCACACACTCCTGGGTCCCAGGCCGGGCCTTTAAAACCCGTGAGTCTCTTGGCCAAACCGGTTTGGCTCAGTGGATAGAGCATCAGCCTGTGGACTGAAGGGTCCCAGGTTCGATTCCGGTCAAGGGCATGTACCTTGGTTGCAGGCACATCCCCAGTGGGGGGTGTGCAGGAGGTAGCTGATCGGTGTTTCTGACTCTAACCCTCTCCCTTCCTCTCTATAAAAAATCAATAAGATATATTTAAAAAAACAAAACAAAACAAAACCCGCGAGTCTCCACCTCAGCACAACGGCCAGAGCGAGCGGGCTGGGCTGGACGCCCTCGCTTCAGCTCTGCAGTCATGTGATAGTGTCATTGGAAGACGGTTCCAGAGCAGATGGCTTCCTCCCCTCCCCCAGATCCCCGTTCACACTACAAAAGTATTGAGCAAACAGCTACTTAGGGAACTGCTTTGAAACAATAAACAGTCTCATTGTCAGGTTCAAATTCAGGTCCAGCTCTCCAAAACACGAAACGCTGCAGTGTGAACTCGGCTCCGGGAGCCACCCGGGCTGCCCCACCCTCCCGCACCCCTGGGAGCAGCATCGTGGCGAAGTGAGTCTTCCTCTCTATCTG